CTATGTAATATGTTTCGTCCTTAAAAGCAATTAATCAGGGTAGTTATCGTTTTATAAATGCGATTATATCAAGGTGATCCATATAAAAGGTCTTGCAACCATGCGACTGGGGTCCACAACGAGGGGTGGAGATATGGAAGTCTAAATTACTACTAAATAACTATTATTGAGAACAGTTTTTTTTAGTGAGGAACTTTTTAGTACAATCAACTAATTATTTAACTAACAACTATATATAATATTAGGAATTATCTTACAATTATTAACTTATTTCCATAAATGCAAATGTACAAAGAAAAAAAGAATACCATACAATAACTAAATGCACAAAAAAACACTCTATTCATCTTAAACTATTTCATTTGATAATATTGAAAAACAATGAGTTAATTTGTTTATACTAACTGATTACATAATACATAATTGTATAAAAAAATCAGAGAGCAATTTGAGCATTTTACAAAGCCGAGTATAAAAAAAATCTGAAAATATTTTACAAAAGTTGCGAATTTCAGAGAAACAATAATTTTGATAATCTGTACAAAATTTGTGATTTTTCTCACATGTACAATATGTTTCACAGAAAATGAAGAAAAAATATTTGTGGTGACATAACATTAACATGTTCCGTTAAAATGAATTACTAGCAAATTTTAAGTTATTAAGATAACAAATTGCTTCATTGATTTGTGACCAGTGCTGAAATATTGATATTTGAATTTTTGAAAAAGATAAAAAAATTTTCATTAAAAATATTAGAATAGCTACAGTGAAAAAAAATGAGAAGATTAAATGAACAACTGATTGTTTGATTTATCGCAAGTAACTGCTGATACAAAATCCTGTTAATCGATATTGATACAATTTTTTAAAAGTGAGAATATTGCCCTTTTCTAAAAACTGTGCTAAATCATCATATTGCACAGAAGCAGACGGTTGATGTCCTTAGTTTTATTTGTCGACCATTTAATGGAAAATGATCGAAGACTGATGACTGATTTCTGGGTCGTACATTTACTCTAATAACCACTGTGTTATAATCAAATGGAAAATGCCTTTCACAGACAACAGTTTTGCTTTGTCAGGGGTGTTATCTTTAGGTATAGGCTTAAATCATCGTTCTTGCTCAATCTGGTGTTAGGGAAGACAAAATACACAAACCTTATTTTGGTCCTAATTGTTAAACAGCACATTTTGACCATTATGAGAAAGATTTGGGGTACTGAAATTAAAAAAAAATATTTTGCCTAAACTAGTAATTTGTTAAAATTACATGGTGCTTCTAATAAGTGTATAAAATAATATTCTAAGTTCTGGAGGTTTGAATCTTTGGAATTTACGTTTCAGAATTTAAAATTTAAAGTTTGTCTGAATGTGTGAATCATTTAGAAACTAATATGGATTAAGAAAGACGATGACGAAGGAATTTGGGATTGAGACATGGGAAATTGAGAGTTTGGAATATTAAATTTTGGATAATCCTATTTTAAGGGGACTAGGGGGAATATTAATCACCTCCTTCCTTATAAAATACTATTACCTAAACAAAATTAACCAGTTTAATATTTTTACAGTATATTGTTTTTAATTTACTGTAAAAATATTAAACTGGTTCATTTTGTAACTTGTTTTACATTTGTAACAACAATGCTAGTAAAATTCAGCATACATTTTTAAATAGCCTTAAATAATTATTTTTTTAAAAGATTTTTAAGTCAAAATATTTGTTGTTATGAAGAATAATATCATAGACAAAATAATATTTTTTTCAAATGGGCAATTTTCTGTTTAATAAAATAAGAACATTTGCAGTGTAGAAATTTACATTATTTTTTTTTTTTGGTTTTCTTGCAAGACGGTATCAACATACATCACGTGTGAGAAAGAAGACAAATTATTCATTAAAAATGAATTTTATAATCAAAAAAATTCGTTATTATGAAGAATAAAAGCAGAAAGAAAAAAATTAACTTTCCGTGATAAAATTCTAATAATGATATTTTTGCGAATTTTGCTGTTTAAAATAATAACAAAAAAGTAAAATGAGACGATGTTAACAAAACAATGTCGCCTCTTTTACAACTTTGTGGTATATTTTTTAAGAATACTTGAAAAATATTAATTTTATTATTAAATTTAATTTTGACATTAACTACGTGTGATAAATTCTTTAATAACTGCCATTTCTCATTAATTTTGCAGTTAAAAACTACATTTTTATTTTTTTTAATGTCTTCTATTTATTTGCGAAGGACAGAGAAGCTCAACATCATTTTTTGCAAAAATACCTCATAAAGACAAAAAAAATAATCATTCATAAAAAATTAATTTTATACTTATGGACATTTTTGAAGAAAAATAGAGAAAAATATTAAATTTGAATTAACCTTGATAAATATAAATTTAACTTTAAATTGATAAATACTTAATGACATTTAACTTGTGAATATCGCGTTGTAGAATATGCAAAATTCAAATAAAATAAATAAAGCTTATACTTACTTCAGTATCTTAAATAATGAACTTAAATTAATCTAAGGGTAAAACGTAAAATTTTCTTTAAAAAAAACTTTCTTAATCCAATTCCGAACATTCGTATGTTAATCGTCCTCCCCGTTTAGGTTGTTTTATATATATATATATATATATATATATATATATATATATATATATATATATATATATATATATATAAGGCATCAATCCCTCTTTTATACATGTTTCGTTACAAACGACTGAAAGTTACTGCGACTATGCTATTTATTTATTTATATTTTGCGTTCTTAAAGTGTTTCTTTTTCAAGATATAAAGTGTGAAAAAATTGTCTAACAGTTCTGCATTTCCGAGCGCTTTCAGCTAAACTTTTCGCCATTATCAAGGATGATTTCAATTTTACTTTTTAAACTGGATGCATGGGTTTTGTGTATATATCTAGATTTATAGGGATATTTTATTTTCCGAACACCGTTAGCAAGTTGTGACTGTGTTCATAGTTAATGCTATTGACCGTTGGCCTTTTCTTTTTTATTATTAGGGCGTTCACTACGTTTAATCTTTCTTAACATGTGGGTGAGGTTATTATGCTTGCACTTTCTACTAGATTGTTTCGGAGGGGGTCTGGTAGTTTTTTTGTTTTGTTTTTAAATGAGTTCTAATGGAGCTGTGGTCGGAGAGGAGTATCGTAGCCCTTGGCATGAATTTAACGGATGTCAGAATTCATTGAAAAATACATCCCCACCCGTACCTAAACCCTTTTTCAAACGTAATTAATATCTGATACAACAAAAATTAATAAAAATGAACACGCTACCACCCCTTGTCTGGATGATTGGGTTTCTCTGTATCCTTGGTAACCGTAAATTATGAATTTACCCTGCAGTTAAAATTCTGTAAATTTAAAAAAAATAAGTTGCTCCAAAATTCGCAAGAGGATGAAATGGAAATAATGTTTTAAATTTAATTACAATATTAAATTTAAAGTTTTTAGTTTTCATTTTTTGAAACATGGTTATTACTGTGTTGCGAAAAAAACATATTTTACATCAGTTAATTTATAATTTATAGTATTAATGCTCTGTAAATTTACATTGAGGACTATTTTGTAAAAAAATAAAAATATCAATAAGAACACCGGATTACATATCATACTGTTCTTTCTTTTTATTTAACTATACATGCATACCTACATACATACATACAGACATTCATGTAGGCAAGATATTAAATTTTAAAATCTCCAGTGTTCACCTTGTCAGCCGATATCATTTGTTCTTCAAAGCTTCTGTTTTTTATTTTTTCTACCAGTTCATTTTAAATATCCCACAATGCAACAAAAACTTTCTTCAGAAAGGTTAAATTAACGCAAATTAATGACGGAAGATTCAGAAATCATTACGTTTTCTACACATGCGCGCTTTCTTTTAATCCAGCTTTATTCTAATATATAGAAGCTCAAATAAAAAAAATGTAACTGAAAAACTATGAGACATATAATGTCATTCCCCATGTATAACACGCAATTTTTTTCTAGGAAATAATAATCAAAATCATGAGTGCGTATTATGAAAAGCTACGAAAAATCTTTAAAAATTGACGTAAAATATAATAAGAATTATCATAAAACAAAATTAGAATAATATTATTCTATGTTTAAAACAATTTTTTAAATAAGTGTAGTAAACACTGGCTGTAATGAAATTGGAGGGGTACAATTTTTAGGGTTTGATTACCAAACAAGGGCTGCGTATTATGCGTGAGTAGAAGCATTTTCCGACACTTTCAGCACAATTCTAGGGGTGCGTATAATGAAGTTGTATTATAGTGGTTTTCCAAGCGTAGCTTAGATGTGGCACAAGGCCAAAGTATGGGGCTCCTAGTGAGAATCGAACTCACTACTGAGACGTAATTGTTCCAGTGAAACAAGCTCGGGGTGCCCTATGAAGGCATATTATATATGGTGAATTACGGTATTTGAATTTAAATTTGGCGCATGCTAAAAATAAACAAAATTACCAAACGTCTCTTTGAAATAAAATAACAATTAATAATACATATATAGAGATTAAAGCAAGCGGATAGAATGGTAGGTTACGCCACCTTACATTGAGGTCATGGAAATATCCAGACCGATGTCAGTGGTTCTATGAGATCTCGTAAATCAGCGTGAATAGCGGCAGGGCTGGTCATGGCAATGCGGCGTGAATTATAGTGGTCCGAAAGAGGCATGATAGAAGATGACGTATGGATGGGACATTCTCTTTCGGAAAGTTCGGATGCATATGACATCCCTCAATCTACTGTGGCACGTGCATACGGAAATACCTGATTGAAGGCATTACTGCTCACCAAGACAGCAAAATGGCAGACGTAGGGTCCTGGAAGTTCATAATGAGAAATATCTGACTTGAGATGTCAAAACAAGTGACATTGGTTGAAATTGCATCTACATTCAATCTAAGAATACCAGACGAAAATTCAACGTTTTTAGTTTTCGTGGAAT